TTCTTTCTTTCTTTCTTTCTTTCTTTCTTTCTTTCTTTCTTTCTTTCAACTTTCTAAATCAGATTACTTTCTAAATCAGGTTACTTTCTAAATCAGATATCCACTCAAGTCAATCTCTGATTAAAAAAAGAAAAAAAAAGTCACAAATTGTCATTGCCCATATAACAGACGACCTCCTTAGTATGGCATTTATGACCCTTTAGAAATCTAACTTCAAGCTACCTGTCCACCTTACAAATTCACCACTCCTTATTTTTTTAAGTTTTTATTTCTTTTGAGGGAGGGTGAGCAGGGGAGGAGCAGAGAGAAAGAGGAAGAGAGAGGATCCCAAGCACTCTCAGTGCAGAGCCTGACACGGGACTTAAACCCCGTTTGTTAGAACTGCTCACCACTACTTATTATATAACCTACACGCCTTATGTATCTATATTGTCAAGCCTTGGTTTCTTTAGTGTAGCCATCCCATCTTCAAGGTCGTCCCCGCTTTCATTTCTAGCTGATGAAGTCAAATTTCTATTTGCATAAGAGCCAGTTTCTCCCCCCAAAATTCCTCCTTATTAATCTGGCACATTGCATTCATTCATTCATTAATTCACCAAACTTTTATTAACTGAGAGCCAGGCATTGCGCTAAGTCCCGGGGATATAAAGCCAAAGCGGATGTGCTACATCATTAACCAGTATACAGTCTCATGGGGAAGACGGGTATATAGACGATTCCAGTAGAGAGTGATAAGTGAAAGGATAATGTAGTGGCTCTCAATCTAGTGGTATATTAGAATCCCTAAAGTCATTTTTTTTTAAATGCTAATGCCTAGGTTCAACCACCAGCTATTCTAATTTCATTGGTTTGTGGTGCCTTTTTTTTTCTAAGCTCCTCTGACATAGTCATGTGAAATGAGGGTTGCAAACCCCAGGATAGAGCTGTGTAAACAGAACATGGAAAACACACCTTGTAACTGGCACTTTTGGCTGCTCCACAACATATCGTCCCTTCTTCTTCATTCCTGTCTGCTCAGGCATGCACCCTTTCTCCATCCAGCTTGGGAGCTATTGCCCCGTCCCCAACTCAGTGGTACATTCTGATTGTTCTTTCTTGTGACTGGTTTATGAGTAGGCAAGAGAACTCATTCTAAACAAGGATACCTAAGGGGAGGTCGGCTATGGGAAATTGAGAAAAGCTTTCCTAATTCCAAGAAAAACATACCAAAAGAGATAGTCTTCTTTTGGCCTTTGGACACTGCTATGCCTGCATATCGTAAACATGAGTGGATCTGAGATCCAGAAAGGACCTGGGTTCTTGAGGCCACTGTTAGGTTACTGCATCAAACAACCCTAATGTTGATCTACCTGTGCATTTCTTAATGTATGCAATAATAAATTTCCCAATTGTTTATGATACTTTGAGTCCGTTTTCCATCTGCATGCAGTAGATGGCTTCCTAAGTATATACAACCAAACCAAACTTGGAGATCACGGAAAACAGCTCAGAAAAGGGGTCTTCATCAAGGCAGTCGGGAAGCAGGAGAAACAAATAAAGAGACATGGATATAAACATATAAGATATTCTGGGAACTGCACGTAGTTCAGAGTGGCATAAAGATGAGGCTGGAAAGACGGTACTCTGGGGCAAGAACTTGAGGAGCCTATGCTGTGGTGGATTAAATATGGCCACAAAATCTTTGCAGCTTCTTTCAAGAAGCAGAGTTGATTTTCACACCTCATGAATCTGGCTGGCCTCATACTTGCTTTGACCAATAGAATGTGTCAGAAGTGATGCTATGTAAGTTCCAGAGCAGGGGCCTGGCTCTCTTGAAATGCTGCCCTGAAGCTACCATACTGTAAGGAAGGCGACCTAACCTACTGAAGGATGAGAAGCCAGTGGAAGAGAAGTGAGGCACTTCAGCCACACTGGTACCAAGTGCTGGGCCTGCGAGGCCATCTTGGCCCACGCAGCTGTTCCAGCCATCATCTGACTGCACGTGAACCTCCCAGCCAACCCACAGAATTGTAAGAAATAGTAAGTCATTGTGGTAGGGAGCCACTAGATTTTGGGTGGTTTGTTATGCAACCATAGGTACTTGATGCATGTGCCATGCCAAGATGTTCGGATTTACTTTGAAAACCATGAGGCGTAACCGGATTAAATTCACGTTTTAGAAAAATTGCCTTGGCAGCAGCATGAGGAATGGGCTTGGAGTGGGGGCAGGTGGGAGGTGGAAGGACTGGTTAAAAGACTTTTGTGTTGTTGGAGCTGAGAAATCATGTGGACCTGAAGTAAGACAGTGGCAGAGGGAAGGCAGACAAGAGTCACTGTGCATGACGGCAAATATAAGTTATAGTGTGTAAAAGAGAAATGCAAATTAGGAATTACTCACCGTTCTCAGGACTAAGTAAACAAGTCGGTGGGAGTGCCCTTCACTAAGAGGGACTCTGGGAGGAAAAGAAAGCTTAATGTAACTGCGGAACATCTAAGAGGAGAGTACTGCAAGGAGCTGTGAACATTCAATGTTTAATGAATAAATTATTACGATTAATCGGGGTGGGTACCATAGTGTTCTAGTCCAGCGATCTGTGGTCATATGGCATAATGTGAGTTGTCTCTAAGTCAAGTAAGTTTTCATGGTGTGAACTCATTTTCGTGATACTTCATCGGAATAGAAAGGAAAAGGAAAGGTAAGATTTGATGCGCCCCCAAATGCTCGCAAATCCACATGTGGTTCAGTTGATGTGCATTAATCTGTAATTCTCAGGAAATACCACTAGTATCTAGTGTTCCAATCTGAAAGCGGATTCTGAGGGTATCCAGAGGGTAGCGCCATGACACAAGTTCTCTCTCTTTGTCCTGCAGATTCTTCACTTACCTCCCCACCTGTAGAGTAAGGGGCTTCCCTAACTCCATGCTAGAAAGAGTTGAGACTATCTCCAGGCCAGATATTTTGTCAAGTGAGCACAATCCACGATTTATTTTGTAATAAACTACAAAGGCTACAAACCATTTTAATATGCACATGTAAATACCGGCTTACCTTTGAAATTGATTAAAATAGCAAGTAAATGGCTGGGAACCAATCTCATCTTTCCAGTACTGTTGCCAATTCATGACACTTTCCAAGTTCTTCTGATTTTCTCTCTTACAGGGAGGAATATAGGAGCACTAACAAAACAGAACACAGAAAATAAAACTATTAGTCTACAAAATGTTGAGAGGTAGTCCTTTTTTTTAATAGAGAGATGGTATTATGCACATGGTAAATCTAATTCTGATCCACCTAATTTTTAATACAACCAAAGTGAAATTGTTAAACCATGTATCAAATTTTCAATTTGGAACAATTACAGAAACTATTCCAATAACAAAAATGTAGCAAAAAATAATCTTCAGTAATTACAGTATGAGAATAGATTATAAACAATTAGATACAATGTAATAGCAAATTAAAAGCATAATATACTCTCTTTTTTCTGTGGGCCTGCCAAGCAAAAAAAAAAAAAAAAAAGAAAAAGTTAATTTTTATCCCAAGTTGCTATCTATGGACCTTGATATTTTCCTCTTCCACTTTTAACTCCCAAATCAGGCACTTGGCTCTCCTCAGATGCTGCTCTCAACTGCTGAAACTCAAGTTTTCTTTTCTTACATTCTCTTGGACAATAAAATCAGCAGAAAAGTTCCTCCCCCAAGTACATAATCAATGCATTTTGCTAACCAATGCCTTTTCCTAGCGCTGCCTCTAACAAAGTAGTTCTCTCTGAAGGGACCCAATTACTCTAAGCAATTCAGAATCAGCAGATTTGGAAAATTATTCTTAACTCTAGATGTTAAAATTAACCATTAGCATTCTAGTCCATTTTCTCTGATTCAGGTTTTTTTTAAGTTTTTGTTTTTGTTTTTGTTTTTTTAAGTAATCTCCACACCCAGCATGGGACAAAAACTCACGACCCTGAAATCAAGAATTGGACTCTCCACTGACTGAGCAAGCTAGATGCCCCTCCAATTCAGATTTTTATAATAATGATGATCACAGTGCAAATTTACCCTTATCGAGTGTTTACAATATGCCAGCCACTGTAATAAATACTTAGCGGGCTTTAACCATGTGCTTCTTACAACAACCCTAAAATGATCTCTTATTTTACAGATGAGGAAACTGAGATTTCTGTCCGCTCTACAGCTGGATGCTGGTGATTTTATCACATTCAACTCCCAGATGTTCTATCAAAGTTTCGGATGTTGAGAAGAAGAAAAACAAAACAAAACCAAACCAGTGACTTTATAGTAGAATTTGATTCGCATTATTTTACAGCATATAACTTGTCAACACCTCCCCACTATTTTCTGGTTAAAATAAAAACTTTTCAATATGATGTACAACCCTCTTCAGGATCTGCCCTCCCCCTCCTGTGGGATGCAGCCATTTAGAAGCACACAGTCCCCAGATCTTCCACGTGCTGTCACACCTACTGGCTGGTACATGCTCTTCTCTCTTCTTTTAATGCCCTTTTCCTTTTAGTCCCCTTCTTTCAAGATGCAGCTCTGGGGCATCTGTCTGGAGGAACCTTCTCTTCCTCATGTGACAGTTAAGTCCCCCTCATTTGTCCTGCCACAGGCATCATACCCCATGCAGCCACAGCTGTAATCACCGGATCCCACTGGTTTGTTTTCTATCAGCTTCCTCAATTTGCTGGCAAGTTGGAAGAGGGCTCTTTTTTTTTCCCCCTGCATCTTCACACTTAGGGCCGTGCGTGGTAATAGTGAAATCTCAAAAATGCTGGTAGAATTAATAATAACACACTTATATAAGTTTTTTTTTTTATTCAAGATGATGAAGCCATTTTCATAGTAGTTAAATTTCTTTAAATTAATACAGAAATATTTTCAAATTTTAGTAAATTTGGTTACTTTCTGTTATATGTAACAAATCCACAACATGTTATGTAAATCTTATTTTAATGATTGGATAACTGGATATTTACCTTCTGTACATACAGTTAGTGTTCTCTTAATAACAGTGTATGGACTTCAAGCTGTATTACAAAGCTGTAATCATCAGGACAGTATGGTACTGGCACAAGAACAGACACTCAGATCAATGGAACAGAATAGAGAACCCAGAAATGGACCCACAAACGTATGGCCAACTAATCTTTGACAAAGCAGGAAAGAATATCCAATGGAATAAAGACAGTCTCTTCAGCACATGGTGCTGGGAAAACTGGACAATGACATGCAGAAGAATGAACCTGGACCACTTTTTTATACCATACACAAAAATAAACTCAAAATGGATGAAAGACTAAAACATAAGACAGGAAGCCATCAAAATCCTTGAGGAGAAAGCAGGCAAAAACCTCTTTGAACTTGGCCATAGCAACTTCTTACTCAACACGTCTCTGGAGGCAAGGGAAACAAAAGCAAAAATGAACTACTGGGACCTCATCAAAGTAAACAGCTTCTGCACAGCAGAGGAAACAATCAGCAAAACTAAAAGGCAACCAACAGAATGAGAGAAGATATTTGCAAACGACGTATCAGATAAAGGGTTAGTATCCAAAATCTACAAAGAACTTATCAAACTCAACACCCAAAAAACAAATAATCCAGTGAAGAAATGGGCAGAAGACATGAATAGACACTTCTCCAAAGAAGATATCCAGATGGCCAACCGACACATGAAAAAATGCTCAACATCACCCATCATCAGGGAAATAACAAATCAAAACCACACTGAGATACCACCTCGCACCTGTGAGAATGGCTAACATTAACTCAGGCAACAACAGATGTTGGTGAGGATGTGGAGAAAGAGGATCTCTTTTGCACTGTTGGTAGGAATGCAAGCTGGTGCATTAATTTAAAAAATTAAAAATAGAGGGGCGCCTGGGTGGCTCAGTCAGTTAGTGTCCAACTTCAGCTCAGGTCATGATCTCATGATTCATGGGTTCGAGCCCCGTGTCGGGCTCTGTGCTGACAGCTCAGAGCCTGGAGCCTGCTTCAGATTCTGTGTCTCCCTCTTTCTCTGCCCCTGCCCACTCACTCTGTCTCTCTCTGTCTCTCACAAATGAATAAACATTAAAAAAAAAAATTAAAAATAGAACTACCCTACAACCCAGCAATTGCACTACTGGGTATTTATCCAAGGGATACAGGTATGCTGTTTTGAAGGGGCACACATACCCCAATGTTTATAGCAGTACTATCAACTATAGCCAAAGTACAGAAAGAGCCCAAATGTCCATCGAGGGATGAATGGATAAAGATGTGGTATATACATACAATGGGGTATTACTCAGCAATCAAAAACAATGAAATCTGGCCATTTGCAACTATGTGGATGGAACTAGAGGGTATTATGCTAAGCAAAAGTAGTCAATCAGAGAAAAACAAATATCTGACTTCACTCATATGAGGACTTTAAAACACAGATGAACACAAGGGAAGAGAAGCAAAAATAATATAAAAACAGGGAGGGGGACAAAACAGAAGAGACTCATAAATATGGAGAACAAACTGAGGGTTACTTGAGGGCTTGTGGGAGGGGGGATGGGCTAAATGGGTAAGGGGAATCAAGAAATCTACTCCTGAAATCATTGTTGCACTATGTGCTAACTAACTTGGATGTAAATTTAAAAATAAGTAAGTAAATAACAATGTGACATATAAAGCTAAAGCTTTCTGTGAAATCCTGAATTTTTGAGTTCTGCCAAAGCAGCTGTTAGGCTTAGAAGCCATGGAGGCCAGTAGATAGGGCTCCAGTCCTACTATCTCTTGGGTGTTTGGACTGGAATAAATTACTTCTGTTTTCTGGACTTCATTTTTTCTCATCTGTAAAATCTCCAAAATAATGTCTAGCTCTATATTTCTTTTTTTTTTTTTAATTTTTTTTTTCAACGTTTATTTATTTTTGGGACAGAGAGAGACAGAGC